TTGCATATATGTCGTCCCTTGTTACAAGTCCATCTCTTAATGTTTGAATATTATTATTATTAGTATTATTATTATTATTATTATTATTATTATTATTATTATTTTTATAATTATTATTATTATTATTATAATTGTTTTTATTATTATCATTATTATTGTCTTTATTATTGTCTCTATTATTGCTGCCTTCCATCTCTAAAGGAAGTAATGGAAGTAATGGAAAAGTATAGATAATTTTTTTACGAGAAGATGAACCACATAAGTATGTCTGGATTAGACCCCAAGGACGAATTATGTCTACCCCTATACATTTTATAAATTTTATAATATCAAATTAATATGGAAAGAGATAAAAAGATATATGATATATAAGAAAAGAAGAATAATAATAATAATAAATTCTCACCAAATAATAACGCGTAAAACCCAGAAGCTAATACCCATATCCCTCCAAGCAATCCAATTAATTCTAAAACCTAAAAATAAAAATACAGATTTATTTATTTTATTTATTTGCGAAATAAACAAATAATTCATTAATAAAGAAAACATTAATATTTACCGAATGATTCCTAAAAAAGAAAATCAGTGGTAAAAAAAAAAAACAGGTTAGAAAAAAAATTTTATTAATAATATATATATAATATGTAAATCTATATTTTCACCTTAGTTCAGTTTCAACCTTCATTATAAAACTTGCGGGTTCAACTTTTATTATACAAAATGTTGAATTATCTATATTCGTGTATACATCATCTAATAATCAATAATTAATAATAATCATCAATAAATCAATAAATCAATAAATAATAATCGTTCGTCAATAAATAATAATAATGTCAATATTATTAATATAATAAGATGACTTACGCATGATGGTAGTAGTAAGATAATTTTGTTTATCATAATGAGGTTTTATTATTTGTAAACCAGATAAACCATTGGATGTAAAAGTTTTTCTTTGATTATTTGATATTCGTAATGTATAAAACTAGATATGTACGTGAGAGATATATAATTTAAGAAATATGTA